GTGCCTTATTCTCCTCATCTGTGAGCCAAGATGGGTCTTATGAAACCTTCCTTAGCCATCTTAGAAGACATGAGCGATTACATAGATGAAAATACAAGAAATTGCAAATGGATAGAGATGTAGCACAGTGTGTGAAGGCCCAGGATTCAATCCTTAGTGCAAGGAAAAAAAAAAAAAAAAAGCTTGGTTACCGCTCTGTGCCTTATTCTCCTCATCTGTGAGCCAAGATGGGTCTTATGAAACCTTCCTTAGCCATCTTAGAAGACATGAGCGATTACATAGATGAAAATACTTTTAAAAAGTATAAAATACCAGGATTGGGCATTAGATATCATGATGCAGTAATTAAAAAAATAAACTCAAACCATATGAAATTCCAACTTATGGGTCAAGAATAGTGAATGTAGACAATTTATATGGCTCACTCTGATGAAGTGAGAGTATTTTGGTATTCTAGGAGCTTCACACTGCTTAATTAACTTAACCTCCCAACTCCGTCCAGGCCAGAGCTTATTAGCATCTCCATTTTACAGATGGAGAAACGGAGGCCAGGACGATAGGCCTGCCCGCCCCAAGGCCACACACTGGGGCAGGAGAGCAGGTCTGAGCCCTGGAGACACACGCTGAGCCCCACACCGGCTGCGGAGACTTACGCCAGGGTCTCCACGTACGGACACTTCCGCAGGCTGGCAGCCAGCTGTTGGGCGCCCACAGCCGTGAACTTGTTGTACTGGACGCTGGGGAGAGAGACTCATTCTGAGGCCTGGCCCTGGGACCGCCCATCTCCAGACAAGACCTTCCCATGATGCACCAGGAGACACACCCCCGCCTCCCTGCTGCCCAGACTCTGCCCACACTCACTCTATCACCCGCAGGGACCCCATCTCAGGAAGCGCACGTGCCAGGCTCTCGGCGCCAGCGTCGCAGATGCAGTTGTTGTACAAGCTGCCGGAGACAGAGGCCATGGAAGAGTTTTGGGGTGCTGGGAGAAGGCTCCCAGAATCTACACTTAACTGAGATTGCTGTCGCATTTTAGAGGGGCAAACAGGCCCAGTGAGTTGAGGCTGCTTCTCTGTGGTCACGCAGTAGGTTCAGAGGAGCAGCAGGACTGAAAGAAAGCTGCTTCTTGGCTGAGAGTGTGGAAACTCTCAGGAGAAATGACTTCCTGGGTTCAAATCCTAGCTATGCCTCCTGCCTCCTGTGAAATCCTGGGCAAGTTACTGAAACCCCCTGAGACCCAGCCTGCTCATCTGTACAATCGCCACAGGCAAACTATGGGGAAGAGCAAGAGTTCATGCTGGTAGGTGAACTGTTAACTCTGGTTATGACTCTCACAGGCCTGACTGTCACCCTCACTGAGTGCCTGTAGAAGGTGTGACTGGCATTGGTGGCAGGAAGAGAAAAACCCAGTCACTGGGGCAGCTCCGTTTGGGGCCACCATGCATAGCAGCAGCACAGCAGCACACAGCACCAAGCATCCTTTCCGCAGGCCGGTGCTGCTATGGCTCAGCCCTGAGCTGCACAGCAGGGCTCCATGCAAAGGCAGCAGGTCCTCACCGCTGCAAGGGTTCAGGCTCCACCCCAGTGGGCCGGATATCGCGGCTGGCCAGGTGGCAGGCAGAGGCAGCACAACCTCCCCTGCAGTAGTCCTAGAACCCAGGAGGCCCTGCCGCCTCTCTGCAGGCAGCTGGAGTCCTTGCATCTCTGAGGTGGAGATGCCCAAGCCCACATCTGAATCTCACTGAGATCAGAGCGCGACCTTTGACCGAGAGTGTCGCAGCTTAGTTGGCAGCATTTCATCCTTCCACCTGTGTCTTCGTGTGGGTGGCACTTTAGTCTATGAAATACATGTTCTTTTTTTTCTTTCCCTTTTTGTGGGGCTGGGATAGAACCTAGGACCTCACACATCCCAGACAAGTGCTCCACCACCAAGCCTGATAATTCTTAATGTGCACATCAGATCAGATATCACTTTCACATGCCCCTCCTACTTCTCATTCACCCAGCAAAAGCCAGGAATGCCTCTGCCTCACCTATAAGCACCCCTTGCTTGATCTGGGCTTCAGCGACCTCTCCTACCTCTGTCCTTCATCCTCTCTGCCCACCACAACCTCTCTCACCTCAGGGCCTTTGCACCTGCTGCTCCTCTTGCTTCAGTGCTTTTCCCTCAGAGCTCCCCATAGGAAGCTGGTCACTTCCTCCAGCAATCCTCTCTATTGCATGCTCTCAGGCTGTGTTGGTTTCTTTCCAGCATAAATCACTATATCAAAATACTTTATTTATGTCTCTGCTTATTTGCTAACTGGGCAAAAACCTTGAAAGCAAGAATACGCATCTTGTTCATAGTTGTATCTCTGCTTTCTAGTACAGGTTCTGGCCCATGTTCATGTTAGAGAATATCAGATGCCTGGAACAGCTCTACAGGGTAGGCACTGCTCACATGGATGATGTACAGCTATGAGTTGTACAATGCACAACCTGTGCAGCTGCACCCTGTGTTCCTGGCTGGAAGGACATCCACAGAGATGGACCAGATGTCACTTTTCCTGGAGTCTGACTTGAGCTGTCCTCAGCACGTGATGAGGGCTGGGGAAGGGGAGGGACGTTTCTCCCAAGCTGGGGAGTTAGGAGAGCCAGGGATGCCCTGCTCTTGCTGCTAGTCTCTGGTACCAGACTGGAAGGAATTGCCGGCTATTCCTAGGCTGACCAGGAGGTGGCAGTGTAAGCACGGACTAGTATGTGAGTGATATCCAGAAAGCTTAGTCCTGCCTCCCATGCGGTGGGGTGGGGGCAGTAGCTACTGCTGCAGAGTCAGGCCTTGCACCCTGCGCTTTACAGAGGCCATCAGGGTAGATCCTGTTTCCCAGATGAGAAACCGGCGGCTCAGGACCAGTCAGCGATCTGCCCAGATTTCTTCCCCTGGGTCCTGCTGATCTTGCTTAGGGCGATGGTGACACCCAGCTTCAGGTAGCCGTGTCCATACTGGATTCTGCACACACCACTCCCCCTCCCACCCATTTTCAGGACCTGTGGTGATTGCTTCCTGAGTCCTGGTGTCAGGCCCAGCCCACCTGCTCAGTGCAGAAACCCTACTCACCTGAGCCTGAGAAGGGATGCAGAGAGCGAGGGCAGGGCCTCGGCAAGCTTGCAGGCACCCACGTCCGTGATGCTGTTCTGGGACAGGCTGCGGGGACATCGCCAGAGAGAGCTCAGGACCACAACAGCGTCCATCCGCCTGCCCCACTGGGAGCCCCACAGGGCAGCCTGTGCTGCAAAGGGGGACAGTGCACCCGCGGCCAGTCATGGGTAATGAACTGTGATGGTGCCTTGGGTAAACCTCCACTACCTACTGACAAATAAGAGTCCTGTGATGCCTGAAGTAGGAGGATGGGGTGAGCTGTTCAGGGGGGCTCCTCTCCTCCACCTATTAATGATTTTATAACATCCTCTCTATTCCCTCCGGGCCATTCATCAGCACCGCAATTAAATGAGTGTCTATGTTATTTGTTTAAGTGGTGGGCTCTGCAGAGAGTGGGGCTGTGTATGTCTTGGTCACGATTATATCTTTGTGTCTATAGCAGTACTGAGCACATAGTAGGTGCTCAATAAATACTTCAGGGCAAAGGGACAGAGGGGAGAGAGGTAAGGGAGACTTATGAAATCTAGCTTACAGTGTTACTTAAGACACTCTAAATTAACAGAGGAGCCCCAGTTTTTTATAATCAAAGAAATAGCTAAGTGAATTCTGGTGAAATATTTGGCCATCCCACTCTTAATTATGAGGGGAATGTGGACAGATTTTATAACCTCTATTCAGTTAAAAAAAAAAAAAAAAGAAAGAAAGAAAGAAAAGAAAAGGTCAATCAATCCACGTTTATCCATCTCCAACTTTCCAGAATCCAGAACAGTTAAAAAAAAGTTGCCATTCTGCCGATAAGTTTTTCCCAATAAATCTTAACCTTCCTCTCTCCTATTTCAACCCCCAATATAATTTTGTAATTAAACTTCACTTTTATTCCTATGTACTTTATAATTTTAGATTTATTTATGCATTTGCTTCTGGTTTATTGTGTCTCCTTGCTAGAATTTAAGGTCCCTGAGGTCAGGGGGTTTATTAGTCTTATTTAAAGCTGCACTTTCAGGGCCTACAATGGTGCCTGGGATCAAGGATAAATATTTTAAATATTTGTTGATTGAATCAGTCAATGACTGGATGAGTGGACGATTGGATAAAAAATGACTGAATGAGCAGTTGGATGAATAATGGCTGAAGGGATAAAGAACTGATGGACTGGGTGAATCAGTGCATGATGGCATGGAAGGGTGCACAGTTGAGGGGTGCATGAAGGACTGAAAGGACAAACTGAGAACCGGAATCGGAACAGGAGCCACTAGACTTTGGGCAACACAACAGCGGGGAAGGCAGGCCCTGCCACTCACTTGAGCGTCTCCAGTGCCTTCAGCTGAGGGAAGGTGGCTGAGAGCTCCGAGACACCCTTGTCCCCAATCTTGTTCTCGCTCAGTGAGTCCAAGCTGCAGGTGGAATCAGAAAGGGGCTGTCAGCCAGTGTCCTCCCCTCCCCTTCCGTGCCCCCGGCCCTGGATGTGCTACAGCCACAGTGAGCAGACTGCCGTCCTGCGCTGTGAGAGACAACCTTCAGCACCCTGGGCCCGCCAGGTGACAGAGTGGGACTTCCCATGGATCAGAATCCGTTTTGCTTCTTAGGAGCCCCTTGAGTCTGAACGATGCCCTTCAGCTCTCAGAAGCTTGATTACAAAGTGGGATTTCCCCCCTCAGCCTCCCCCGTGGGGTTGCTAAGAGTGGCGAGTCAAGTGCGGACATGTAGGGTTGTTTCAAAGGTCATGAAGGATCCCACACTGTCTATTCCTGGGGATCCCCATCAGCTGTCCCTTCCCTGCAGCAGGCTTATCCTGTCACTCATATGAGCCACACTGAGGAAGTGGCTGGGGAGAGAGACAGGGACAAGGAGAAGGTGTCCTCTTTGCACGTGCCCTGGGACAGGACAGGCTCTGAGGCTGTCAGGGCCACAGTGGAGGGGAGGCCCAGGGGACATACTTACTCCAGATGCTGAAGGGAGGAAAAGGCTGGCAGGATCCTTGCCAGTTTGGGGAAAGCTTGGGGGCCCAATGTGGGGCCCAACCTAGGGGCAAAGGACAGGGTGAGATGTCAGGATACCCCCAGGCCTTGCATCAGCCCCAGAGGGCAGACACAGGGCACAGAAGCACCCTACCTCACGCCCTCCCAGCTGGCCCTCCAGGCCTTCTGCTTGTGCAGATCTCACAGAGGCCCTGAGAGGCCAGGTGGGGTCCTAGCTTTCATCTCTGAGTGGGGACCCCATTCTCACTCTCGCTGACATCTGCATATACCCATCCTTCTCCCACCCTAGCCTGGAGAAGTGGTCCCCAAACACTAGCCAAGGACCACCACCAACAATCCCTTTATCTGAGTTTCCTTCAATACCTAGCCCCGATCTTAGGAGGTGGAAGGAAGGATTAGGGAACCCATCACCCAATATTTACTGATGGTCTACTTTTGCCAGGCCCAGGGAAAAAGCCATGAGCAAAGTGGATGAAATGGCCTGCCTTTGGGGAGCTGCTGTTCCAGGAGGGGACAGACAATCAAAGAAGTCAGTGCGTGACCTGGAATGAGCGACAATAACTGATAAAGGCAGACACAGCAGTGAGGGCTGGAATGCTATTTTTAAATATGAGGGTCAGAAAGAGCCTCACACCCCTGAAATAGGAGGGTCCTGACATAGGATCAGAAAAGATCAGACAGAAGCCAGTCTACAGGCTGTGCAGGTCCCTGAGGAGGAGCGGTCCAGAAGGGGCACTGGCAGGGCAGAGGCCCGAGGCTGGATCTTGCCCATTGAGGCTGAAGACTCACTGGAGGGACACATGGTGGTGGGGAGCCAGAGAGGCCCAGGAGGTAACCAGGGGGCAGACAGTAGCCAGTGGCGTCAGGGAAGGCCTTGGCATGTGCACGTTCGCTGCGGGGTTTTGAGCAGCCTGATATGACAGGAGAAGGAGGCAGACAGGTGCCCCACACAGTGGCGGCCAGAGCAGACACCCAAAATAATCCTTCCTTCCTTCCTTCCTTTCTTCCTTCCTTCCTTCTTTCCTGAGAACCTTCTTGGGGCTTCCAGCCTCCAGGCGACTGTGCACCCGGGGCCAGGCTGTTCCATTCCACGGCTGCTGTTCCCCAGAGTGCTGTTCCCACCCTGAACTAGGGGCTTTTTAAGCTGAAAATAAGTCATGCCAGAAAGAGCTCGTGGGGATTGTCTTCAGACATTTCCTCTTTTCGGCAATATTTTTACCTCTGCACAAATTTGGCACCTCGTCTTTTATTCAAAACAAGAAGTGCCTGGCTTTTTCTGGGGCTGAGGGGGCCAGTGATCAGTGGAGCTGACAGCTTGTGGGAGTCGAAAACCTCATTGGTTAAGTCATTTAACCTCACTGGGCCTCAGTTTCCACATCTGTCAAATGGGGACAGTGATGACTATCTCCCAAAGCAGTCTTTCTGATGAATGAGATTATATATACAAAGAATGCACCAAATCCTCTTTTGGTGCTAAACAATTCCTTGCTAATTCCTAGATGATCTTGGAGCCCTACCAAGGACCAAATACTAGTTTAGTTTGTTCCTTGGTTGGAGCTCAGAACCAAGCTGGCCTGACTCTTACGACTTTGGAGAAACAATTTAAACTGTCTTGACCTCGATGTTCCCATCTATACAATGGAGAGATGATAACAAAGCCCTCAGGGGAGGATCAACCGAAATAATGGGGTGAAAGTGCTTTGCCCATTGAAAGCTAGATTCTGGCAGACAGATGGAAATACAAGAATTATTGCGGCTCCTCCAATGGCTGGTGGGTGCCCTGAGTCGTGGCCACAGCTCTACCTCCATTCTATCTCCCAGGCACTACTGCCCAGGATGGTGGCTCTCTGGCCTTGATGCACATAGCATGACCCACTGCCCCCGTTTGCCTGAGTCCAAGGACTTCGCAGGACACAGAACTCGCAGTGTTAAAACTCAGTCAGCCCCAGGCAAACTGGGATGCGGCTTGTTCACTGTATCTGTGTCTGCAGGGAATCCAGCAAGCAGTCGGGGCTGGCACCACTGCTGGGAGCTGGGCAGAAGCCTGGGGTGCTGTGGGTGGTGGCCAGGGTTGTGCCTCCCCGGGCAGTCCAGCTCATGCCTGTTGGATGAGTACTCTCAGGAGCACAGGGCACATGGTGGCATCTCCCATGGAGGTCACGGGCTTCTCCTGGCCCTGGCCGAGTTAAGATTCCTGCAGGCCACCCATCTCCCTGGCATGACCAGCCCACTTGGCTCAGTCCTAGTCTTTGGTCAAACTTCAGCACAGACATTGCCTCCCCCAGGAAGCCCTCCAAGCTCCCACAGAGGGAACTCACTATGTCAGCCCACTGAGGACGGATGGAGGCCTCACCATCCAAGTTTCGCGAATGGGAGTGAGCGAGGTAACCAGCAAGCAGGTGGGTTACCAGTAAATCCCAGAAGCCAACGCCAGCACTTGCCCACACTGGCCGGAAGCTGGTTTCTAAAGTGGTGGGTGCCAGGGGAAGAACTGTTCTAGGCTCTCCTATTCCTGCTGCTTTCCCAAGATGAGTGAATGCTGAAGAGGAAACAGGCTCCTGCACCATCACTTACGCAAACTCCAGCTTCTTCAAGTCGCGGACAGCGGGGAGCTCCCAGACTGTGTCTTTGGAGGAGCTTCTCAACCTGGAGAGAACAGGCCACTCTAAGGGGAACAGGCCCCTCGGTCCCTGGGCCCCTGCCTGCCTGCCCCTTGACGCCTGCCCCAGTGCCCCATGTTCCCTGGGCTGGGGATGTGGCTCTGTGATGGAGCACTTGCCTAGCACGTGCGGGACCCTGGCTTCCATCCCCAGCACTGGCTCAGAGGAAGCAGGAAAACACCAGGAGTGCTGCATGGAAAATAGGCTCAGAGTGGGCCCTTGGCGGTACCCAGCCCTCGCAGCACATAGCAGGCGCTGGGGAGGGAGTGAGACAGTGAACTTGCTGTGTGGCCAGGTTGTCCCTGCTCTCCACACCTCAGCACTGCCATCTCTAAGACGGGGATGACCCCGGTCCTGGCTGCCTCAGGGAGTGGCTGGAGGGCCACATGTGTCCCTAGATGTTGAAGGCATCCTTGTCAACTCCCGGCAGAGGAGTTTCTCCTTGGCTTGAGGAGAGGAAGAGTTGGGTACGTGGCGGCACGTTTTGAATGGAGCAGTGTCACACTGTGGGGCTGGGCCTGGGGCGACTGTGCTGAGAGGTCTGGGGAGCCACGGCCTCACAGAGGAGCCAGGGCACTGCAAAGCCCTGGACAAACTTGACAACATGTCCCCAAGGTCCTCAGCCTCCACAGCCCGCAGGACCTTCCACCCCATCCCCTCACCTCTGGGTCTGCACGAGGTTGCCCAGGTCTTCCACGTCCTTCAGGGACTTGGCCTTAAATGGCTCAATGGTGAACTTCTCCTCTACTGCCTGGAGTAGCTGGGTCTCCCCACGCTGCTGCAGAGACTCCCAGAGCCCCACGGTGTCACTCAAGGCGGCCCTGTGGAGGGAGGGTCTCAGACCCAGGCACAGTGACCGGGCTAGACCACAATGGAGGGGCAGCCCCATGAAGCTGTCTCCTACCCACTCAGATACTTTCCATCCTTAGCTCGGCTTCCACCTCCTCCAAGAAGCTGTCTGTGGCCACGCAGTCTTTACTGACTTCTCCCTTCTCGAAACTCTCGCTCTGGTTTTGTTTCCCTTTTTGGCTTTGGCTACCAGGAAGCTCAGTGCTAAGTTCTGAGTACAATTGTGTCAGGCCTTAGAGTTTAGGTAAAATGTTTACAGGAAACACGAGAGCAGCTCTTTGGAGATTAAAGCGCTAAAGCCGATTATAGGACTTAAATGAGCCTCATGAAGGAGTGTAGACTTCATTCTGAGGGCAGTGTGCCCCAGAAGGGTGGGAGCAGAGGTGTGATGTGATCGAATTCAGGTTCTGGAGAGATTGCTCTGGGGGCTGAATATAAAGTGGGGTAGAAAAGGAGAGAAGGGTGGTAGAGAGGTCAGGGGGAGGCTGAGGCTTTAAGCATGAGAAAACGGATCCTTGATCGGGGATGGAGGAGAGAAAACAAAATTAGGCCCCGGTCACGGGGTGGGCCTTCAGATATTTGTTGGAAGAAGAACATTGCCCTCCGCTGGCTGTGTAGCTCTGGGTAAGCAGCTGCCCTTCTCTGAGCCTCTGCAGGGGAGGAATCCATTCTCCTGCCTGCTGCTGTGCATGTTAAGTGAGATCACACAGGGTGACCATCCACGCCAGCAGAATGAGCCCCACCTGAAAGACGTGACGCAGCTCAGTCCCACGAGGCTCCCGAGACCCAAGGGCTCAATGCCTGTGCTGCGGAGGTCCAGGGAGAAGTCTCGGTCGGCAGCCTGCAAGGCCTGGCCCAGCACATGGGCGTCAGGTGGCGTGAGCCGTGTGCCCAGGAAGGAGAGGGGTGAAGGCAGCTCCCGCGCCACGTGCGTCCAGATCCCAGCCTCACGGGCCTCATGGGCGCAGTGTAGCAGCTCCAGCAGCCGCCCGGCCTGCAGTGTCCTGGGCTGCAGGCGCTTCAGGTATCTGGTGAGCACCTTCTGCTTCCTATCTGCCGCAGAGGCTGCTGCAGACCCAACCAGTGCTCCCAGGCAGCGGGCTCGTGGCTGGAAAATCAGTCCAGCCAGAAAGCGTGGCACACCCTCCATCCAGTTGTCATAGGGCCTCTTTTTCCTTGGGGTCAGTGCTAAAAACTGCGGCAGCTCCTTGTCCTTGATTTCGCTGCTCAAAGCCAGCCACAGGGCCCCCAGGAAGCACTGCAGGAGGAAGCTGGAGAAGACCAGCTCGGCCTGGGCAGCCCCTGGGACCTGCTGTGCCACAGGTTGCACTAAGCCTTTGGTCACAGCCCAGGTCCTCACTTGCTCTGACGGGAACTGGCCCTCCCGCAGGACACTTTGGTGTTTGCGGCCCAGCTCCCAGGCCAGCTTGGCCAGCCCTGCCAGGGCCCCTGGGGGGCTGTCCTGGGTCACCGGGGCCAGCAGGCCAACATAGAGTCCTGTGAGTGTGGAGGGCAGCTCAGCCTCCTCCCCTCGCTGCAGCAAGGTCTCTGAGAGCTGGCACACTGCCCGGCACAGAGTGGGGCTGTGGCTGTGACTGAGGAGAAAAGGCTGGTTCTGAAGGAGCATTAGAGCTCGCTCGTGGTACTCCGAGCCCTCGAAGTAGCACTTCACATATGTCTGGGCCTGCTCAGTGGAGAAGCCGGCCACCTCGAACAGGGCATCAGCCTTGCCCAGGACCTGGGCCAGGCGGCCACGAGGCTGGGCCGTGAGGAGCAGGGTGCAGCCTCGAAGCAGCCTGCGCTGAAGGAGCCCGGCCAGCAGCCCCCGGAGGGAGCAGGGCTCTGTGCATGCAGGCCCGCCAGCACCATGCAGGAATCCATCCTGAGCTTCCAGCTCCTCAAAGGCATCCAGGATGAGCAGGACGCGGTCAGGCCTCCTGGAGATGTGGCTGAAGACTTCATCATCCATGGCCAGCGGCTGCGGGCCGGGGGACCAGAGCAGATCCTGCAGGCGGTAGGTGTCCCCTGGGTGGTCCAAGCAGTAGCAGGGCACGTAGAAGACAAAGTCGTACTTTGGAAGCTGGCCACAGGCCCAGGCCCGACCTACTGCCCGGGCCCAGTGGCTCTTCCCCTGCCCGGCCTTGCCCAGCACAGCAATCACTCGGGTCTCTAGAGGTCGCCGGCGGTCGCTGGCAGCCAGCAGCACCTGGGCCAGCCCCCCACTGGCCGGCTGGCGCTCAGCCCAGTCCACAGTGGCCAGCTCCCTCTCCTGGCTCTTGTGGCTGCCCTTCTCCAGCCGGGCTCTCAGCAGCTCCACCTCCACCATGACGCCCTCCAGGCCTGCAGTCTCCGCCTGATGCCAGTCCTGCAGTGAGTGGTAGAACTGCCTCACCGTCTCTGCAAAGGCAAGGCCATGTTGGGCTGCGTCTGGCTGGGGATGCAGGTAGCTGGATCAGCCTCCCTCACCAGCTCCTCTATCGCTCACCTCCTTCACGACTGCCTCCTCCATTCCCAGACACTCACTCCTTCATTCCCTCGCACATCCATTCATTCACTCAGCTTCTCACTAGTTTGCCTATTAATTCTTTTATACCCATCCTTTTTTTTTTTTTCCTGTAGCACCAGGGATTGAACCTAGGGTCTTCCCCCTGAGCTAAATCCCCAGGCCTATTATTTTTTATTTTGAGACATGGTCTCACTAAGTCACTAAGTTGTCCAAACGGCTTGAACTTGTGAGCCTCCTGCCTCAGCCTTCCAAGTGCTAAGGATTACAGGCCTGTGCACCATGCCTGCCTTACTCACTCCTTCACTCCCACCTTCCATTACTCACACCTACTGGCTTCTTCATTCCTCCACTCTTTCTGCTACTCACTCTCCCCAAGGCATCCTCTCAGCCTTTCAGGTGAGCTGTCCATGCCCATGCCAGGGGGCTCTTGGGGACCGGGGCATATTGAGGGGCAGGTCCTCAGTAGGTGTCATGTGAGTGAGTGGCAGAGTGAATGTGAGAGACGCGTGAATGAATGAGAAGATAACAGACTGAGTAAATAGTGCATGAGTAAACTGAAGCCATACAGGGGCTCTGTGTCCAGGGCCCAGGACAGAGGGACCCAGCTGCCACTCACCAGGCCATTTGGGAAGCTGGATGACGTCCTCTGCAGCTGCCTGGCATGGGGAAGGGGATCTTTCGACCCCTGCAGATGGAGAAGCCAGTGATGAGTTAGGGTATCGGGGGCCCTGGGGACCTTCCTCCTCCAGGCCACCCAGTCCTCAGATCCTCAGGGCAAAGCTCACACAGGATAAGGCACAAAACATCGGAGTTTCCCAAGCTGAGGTTATAAGATGGTGACCTGAGCTACACTGGTGTTTATTTTTTTATTTTAGAGACAGGGTCTCACTATTCCAGGCTGGCCTTAAACTCACTCTGTAGCCCAGGCTGGCCTTGAACTGACAGTGATCCTCCCGCTTCAGCCTCCAGAGTGCTGGGATTACAGGCCTGTGTCACCATGCCCAGCTTGTCCTTTTGGGCTTTTGGTTTTGGTTTCGCCAGCTGTACTTTTAAATTTTTCACCGATGTTCTAAAAATATGGTATCTGTGTAAAAATTAGAATTTCTACATTCAGGAGGCCTGGCCACTGGGTCTGCTTTCTTGTTAGGAACAAGCAGCTGGAGGCTGATGGCCCTGCTTGGGTGGGACATGGATTCTGCAGCTGCTACCTGCCCCCAGCTGTACCTTTGGCTATCTTTAGACCCTCCTCCTGACCTGTTTAACTCATGCACATGACCTGCCTGTCCCCACAGGCTCTGACCATGGGCCTCATCCTGCTTCCAGGGACGCGCACAGCCCCCAGCAGTCTTCACCTGTCATGTCCGTGCGGGAGGTCAGGGCCGGCTCGGGCATGCTGGGCAAGTCAGCTGCAGAGGGAGCAAAGGGGCTGGTGGAGCCAGGCCGGCCTGGGGACTTTGGGAGGCTGTGGACAGCAGGGCCACTGGAAGGGAGAGTGTGGCTGGCCAGGGGCACTTCACCTACATTGCAAGTAGAGAAGGGTGTGAGAACAATTAGGTTCCCACCCAAGGGCCCACCCGGTCACCTCGTCTCCAAATCAAGCTGTGGAGCTTGGCAAGTCTGTAGAGAGGAGAAAGGAACGCCCAGGGAGATGTTTGAGGATGAAGCTGAGGAAACACTCTGGAGCTCCCAGAGCTCCCTGAGCCTTGGTTTTCCCATCAGTGCAATGGATCCACTCAGCTCACGGGGAACTTAGGCCAGGTGCTACTACAGCATTCTTATCACCATGTGGTCAGTGCTCGTTTCCCTGGATGTCAGGAACTTCTTGCTTCTGGTGCAGCAGTACATTATACAGAAATTGGCAACCAGCAAAGGATGCCCTTGACTTGAGTGGAAGCATCCTCCTACCTCATCCCTGAGAGCCCAGACATGCTTTCCCAGGGTCTGTCTACAACCTCTCACCATGGTGGGTCAGCAGGATCATTTTACTGATCAGGAAACAAAACAAATCTGAGAAAGCTAAGAAGGGACACACACCAAACTGTTCACATCAACATACTAAGGAGGAAGGAGACACTCAGTTAATTCTTATAAGCATTTGTTATTTGGCTCATTAGTGAGCCTTTATTGATGCCACAATTTCAAGTTTAAATAAAAGGAAAAATGAAGTCATGTGGAAGTGACATATGGGAGGCTGCACAGCCACTCTTGGTCACACATCCAGATCACCTCGGGGAGCTGTGCTCCCCTGCTTTGATATCTGAGAACTGGAAATAAAGGAAGGTGTGCTGGGGGACAGCAATGTAGCTTAGTGGCAGAACACGTGCCTACCGCACACAAGGCCCTGGATTCCATCCCGGCACCATAAAAAGGAAAGAAGAGAAGAGAAAAGAGAGGGAAAGGGGAGAAGGAAGGAGGGAAGGGAGGAAGGAAGGAGTGGTGGGGAAGGAGATCATGAGGTGGTTCTATGCTATAGTTGACAAATGCCTGAGGTGTGCGGGGCAGGTCAGGGAGCGTGGGGGGGGGGTGCAGACCTCACACACTCACCATGGTAGATTAATATACTGGAGATGCCTGTGCCCAGCCCTGAGACCTGCCAGAGCCCCTGGGGCAGAGTGGGGAATGTGGAGATGAGCTGAATGGGTCCAGCAGGGAGAGTCACGCAGCCCACCAAGGACGTGGAGGGGTCCGCTGCAAGGGGCAAAGCAGGGAGGTGAGATCTTCACAGCCCCGTCTCTGGGATTCTGCTCTGTGATGATGGGGTTGACATCTCACTCCACACAGGGCTCTGATTCCCCAAGGGCAGCCACCCATGGTGGTGGTGTCCCCAGCACCTAGCAGCGTGTCTGGGAGATACGGGGGCTCCAGGAAGAGATGACGACAGAACAGGGCCGGTGGGCGAGCTTTCCCCCCATGGAGATTCCCTCCTGGCCTCCCAGGGTGGGGGTCCTTCCCAGGCAGGGACTGGGCGGGATGGGACCCCTGAGGATGACACTGACTGGGACTGAGGGACACCGAGGGGGTGTGTTAGGGGAAGTCCCTGCCTAGCACCAACTCCCAGGAGGGAGGGAGCCTGCCCTCTCCAGGCCCCTGCACCTACCAGGCCCCTGCACAGCTTCCTCCAGCCGGGTCTGGGCAGGGCCTGGCATCTGCTTGAATAGAGCATGTGGTGGCTGGCAGGACAGCGGGGAGGAGCCGCTTGCCAGCCCCACCAGGAAGCTGCCGGTCACTATGGGCCCAGAAAGGGGTTCGGCTGTGGAGAAGAGGGCTGGATTAGAGGCTGGGAGGGGCTTCCTGGGTGGGCAGGGCTCCTGGCACCTAGAGGAAATGCCTGTCCCCTGCTCAGCGCTGGCTCCAGTGGTGCTGATGGGCGAGCTTGTGCAGGCCACGCCCAGCTGCTCTTCCTGTAAGCAGACCCAGAGCACCCCAGAGCGCAGCCCTCAGGTCCTGCCAGACAACTGTGGACTCTGCCCAAAGAAGAGCCAGGGCCGTACTGTGCCCACCGCCATCAGAGGGGGAGGTTGCTGACATCCTCCGGGGAGGGAGGGACAGATTGGCAGCTCCCTGGGGACGGGGCCACTGCGGCAAGCCAGGTCTTTACCTGTGGAGCTCCCACCTCTGCTGTCAGGCTGAGCTCACAGGTGCCTGCTGGTCTTGGAGAGGAGCCCTCCTGTAGGATGGGGGCTCCCCGAGGACACCGACCACTTCTCCATCACCCTAGGGTCCTCGTGGGCAGGATCCCTGTCTCTGCCATCAGAGGGGACTTCCTGAGGCTAAGTCTCCCCCCAGACTAGAAGCTTTTGTTCTTCAGTCTGTTCTCCACTCCTTTCTGGTTCCGCCTTCTCCATAACAACTGGGATGGGAAGGAGGGGAGGGGAAGCCCCTGATGGGAGATGGTGAGCTTGGGCCAAGGTGGGATGGGTTTCAGCTCTGCACTGAAGGAGTTAAGGAGGCTGTTAGGGGAGAGGCTTAATGGGAGAAACCGAGCCTCCCAGTATCTCTCATGTAGCAGAGCATGGGCTTGGCTACTGGGGTCTTGGTTTGAGTCCCACAACCCCTCTCACGAGCTATGTGACCTTAGGTGACTTGACCTCTCTGAGGCTCAGCTTTTAAGCTGGATTTATGTGGGCACCTGAGGAGGCCCAGCTCCCCAGCCTTGGGTCTCCCAGACCCACCTGCCTTGCTCACCTAGCTTCCTGTGCTTCAGGTCCAAGGGATGCTCCTCTGGGAAGGCTGCAGAGAGAACACTGTGGTCAGGGTCTTCAGGGAAAGGTGTCCCCAGCACAGAGAGGGGGTGGTCGTGGACACCAGCAGTGGGAGGGATGGGCAAGTAGAGAGCTGGTGAGATAGCACGCCCAGGGTTTGTTGTACCAAGCAGTAGGTATCCAGGTGTTCATGGTGTGATTTCTTCACCTTATTGTATGTTGAAAGTTTTCATAATATAATGTTGGGGAAAATATTTATTGGATGAAAATGGAAAGAAAGAAAGAAAGCGAAGGAAGGAAAAGAGGTGGGAGAAAGGAGAGAAAGAAAAAAGGAAGAAAGAAAAGAAGGAAAGGAGGGGAGAGGAGAGAGGGAGAGAAAGGAAGGGAACGGAAGGGAAGAGAGGAAGAGACAGGGAGTAAAGGGAAGGAAGTCAGGAGGTGGGGAAAAGCCAGACAGTACAGGTCTTGTAAGAAGCACTGTGTAGTAACTGGGGGGTTAGGAAGGCCTGGTCCATATTTAAGGGCTCCTGTCAGCCCAGACCAAGGAAGCAGAGAGACTGGGTAGGAGTCTCAGAGAGGTGCAGGTACCTGGCAGGGAGAGGCAGCAGGGACCCCAAGGCCAGCCGAAGTGGACAGGACTTAACAAGGGAAGCAGCTGGGAGCCACAGCAGGCTTCGGAGCTGAGAAAGGGCCAGGCCAGATGGGTCAGAGAGGGCTTACTCACATCTTTTCTGACTTCTCTGCCCTGCTTCTTCCAGTACCTCCACACTCTCACCGATCACTTCTTCCAGTTCTATGTGCTCTACTTTGGAGAAAGACCAGAGACCAACTCACAATCTGTGGTGGCCGGGGCAGGCCCAGGTGGTTCTTACTGGGGAGGGGACGACCACGCTCCTAGGACAAGGAAGGGAGCGCAGCCCCAACTTACTGAAAATGTCCTTGCTCGGGTCCTCCAGCTGGGCATCCTGGAACACATACTGGTCCAGTTCCGCTAAGCAGTCAAGGAAAACAGTCAGCAAGGGCTCGGTGAAGGCCTACTGTGTGCTGGGTCTTGGGCTGGGCCCGGCACACAGTAGGAGCTCAACAAGTGTTGTTGACTGTACAAATGAGCAAATGAGCAAATGAATAAATGAACGCTGACCCTTTATGGGCTTTGAGTGTAATGGAAGCTAATGGGAGGGGGTGGGATGTGTCCATGAGAACTTCCTACTCCCTCAAGTAGTGCAATAGAGTGGCAGAGCAGTAGAGTGGGCATGGGGTTTGAGTTCAGATTCTACTTCTATTCTCCACTCCTAGCTGGGCAACCTTGGATCAGTTACTCAACCTCTCTGGGCCCCCAAGTTTCTAATCTGTGTAAGGAAAACAAATAATACCTACTACCCAGGGATGGATGGCAATGATTAGAAACTCTGCATTTAAAGCATTCAATGCAGTGACCAGTACCCAGTGGACACCCCATAATGTGGCTGATTATATGAGAGGACACATGACTTTGAGCCTGTGTGCAAAGAGCTGTCACGGCAGAAAGTCAGAGGAAAAAGTGTAGAACGGGGTGGAGCAGTCAGAAAGGGCCTTGCAGAGGAGAGGACCCTGGAGCCAGGCCAGGAGAGAGGGGACAGATGGCTTTCTGGGTGGTGGGGACAGAGTGAGGAAAGCTGTTCAGGGCATGAGGCATCAGTGACTGCACAGAAGTTTCATGTTGGGGAAGCTAGGACTTGGTTTTATGAAAAGCAGAGGGGAGCCACGGAAGACCTGTGAGCTGTGGGACGATGGTGGCAGCAGCGGTGAAGGCTGCAGAACCCAACACCTATAGAGAGTTTTCTCCGTGCAAGTTCCCTTGCTAAGTGCTTTACCCATAATCCTCACAACCACCTACAGGTAGCTGGGGCTGTGATTCCCCACTGCGCATGTACAGAAGCTGAGATAGCAGTGTACAGAGCACCACAGTGACTGCTCGCCAGACGAGGGCTTGGCTTTCTAGAAGCTTGGGAGAAAGCCAAGGACTTGAGGAACAGTTTGGGGAAGGTACTCACTCTCTCAATAGCTCAGCAGAAAAAAAAAGCCCACAGATCCTAAGTGATGCTCAGATCCTTAATTACTGCCTCCAGCTGTGAGGAAATGTGAATGCTCTAAATATTTTGGTTTCCCCCAAGTAAATTCCCAGCAAGGGAAGGATCCAGGCAGTCTCTTGGTTCTGTAATTTCTGAGACACACATAGTTACTGCTCCTTTCCATTTCTGCCCTTGAGGAATATTGGATTAACTCTACCTGGGGAAAACTTGGCCACATTGATGCCAAGCATAAACCTTCTGATATGGATCCCAGGTTGCCAGGAAAAGGGCCTTAAGAACAGTTGTGTACATTGTTTACCCCACAAAGGTGCCCAGGCTAGAGAGTAAGTAGGGACAGAAATCTGAACTGCGGTTTGCTACCCAAGCTGTCACTTCCTGGCAGAGACTGCATCCTCCGGAAGAAGGAGCAACTTTCTCTAATTGAGCAAAGGCTCTAATGAGATAGTGGTGATCCTGGTGGGGAGGGATCCCCCAATTCCCTCTCCTAAAAAGTCAACAGCAGAGCCAGGGATTTAGTTCAGTGGTTCCGCCACCGGCCTCACAGGCTAAAGGTGCTGAGTTTGATCCCCGGTACCAAAAAAAAAAAGTCAACAGCAGCAGCAGCCACACTCACAACTCCTCTCTCCAAAGAGTTCTGCCATTGTCTGGAATCTGTGCCTCTTTTTAAGGCTGCACACAAAGCCTTAACAAATCTCCCAACCTCAGCCACCTTCCTTTTCATGTGGACTTCAGGGTTGGGGATCTAGCTCGGTAGTACAGCGCTTGCCTAGCATGCACAAGGCCCTGGGTTCAATACTCAGCACTAAAAAAAGAGAGAAAGGGGGGAGAGAGTTTGAAATGAGGAAGAACTGGATTAGAATTTCAGACCTGCCCCTTACCATCTCTAATGATTCACCTCTCTAAACCTCAATTTCCTCGTCTGTTGAAAGGAGATTTGAGTACTATGGGGTTTCGTTGTTGTCCAAAGCAGTCAGTGCAATAATGCATTGCAGCAATGAACATGCTCGGAGCACCTAATAAATGGTAAGTATTTTGAATACCAGAGAAGTTTGGCTTAGGAGCCGGGGAGGGAGAAAAGGAGAGGATGGTGTGGGCTTTGTGGGAAGGAAAGAAAGAAGAGCAAGGGACAGAAAAAGGTGTAGTGATGAAGCGAGAGGGACTAAAAAGAGATCGCTAGTGGTCGTTAGTGAAGGCCCCGTTTCCCAGATTCCGGTCTTCCTTGGAGGCGCCATTCTTCTTGGTGTCCTCGCATCCCCCTTGCAGTGATTTCTGCAGGACAGGCCTGCTGTGGAGCACGGTGAGTGGGTGAGATCAACGAAGGAGAGCCAGGAGCCCTTGCCCTCAGCTCTGTCCCCAGGCTCGGCACGCGTGCTCACCGATGTTGGCGTATGCCTCTCTGGTCTCTTCATCCCCTTCCATGTCACACAGCAGCCTGCTGAACTGGTCACAGTTGATGGTGTCCATGTCGGGTTCTGGGAGGAAACGTCCCTCGTATGAAGCAGGAAAGATCTGGGAAGAGGGCTGGTGGGAAGGAGGGAGAGGCCGGAGGGGCCAGGAGACATCCTGGCTAGGAGGGCAGCTTGGCACTGACTCGGGAGCTGTCCGCGGTGCTGACCGGGGCTGGTGGCCTGCCCTTGCCCCGCGCTGTCTGCGTCCCGCTGTGGGTGGGGAGGGGCGGGAGAGGCCAGAGGGAGGGGCGCCCACCTGAGCAGAGCTCGATCTCTTCCTCTCCCGCCAAGTCCATCTGGTCATAGAAGTGGTAGAGGTGCAAGGGGTCAACGTCGCTGTTAAGAAGCTCCAAGTACCCACCTTCCAGGGGCCCCAGCTCCATGGCTGCACACTGTCCACTGCCTGGAAGGGGAGACATACCCAGGTGTCTTCCCTTGGGAAGCTGAGAAGTGCAGAGGATTAACACCTACAACAGCTCCTGGGGTTAGGGGGACGCAAAGGAAGAGAGCAAAGGTGCTTGTCCAGTGCCTCTGATGTGCTCGAATGGCAGAGAGAGGAGCCTGAGCTCGAATCCTGGCTGTGAAGCCTTAGACAAGTCACTCGCCCTCTTTGAGTGCCAGCTTCTTCACCATTAGATCTGGAGAATGAAGTCTGCCTTACAGGACCACCTAAAGGCCAAGGGTGACTGTGTGTGGTGTGCCAGCCTCAGAGGAGGCCCATAATCAAAGGAAGCTTGTTATGTTAGGGGGCATTGGAGCTGGGACCCTAGGCTTCCAGACCAGACCACTCCACAGTGTAGAGTTGCCTCCCATCCATGCCAAGTTTTATTTGATCTTGGCTTGGAACTTACCCATGTCCCCAGAGCCAAACTTCTGTTTCTACTTGTAGACCAGGGACTTAGCTCAGTGGATCCACTGCCTGCCTTGCAATTACTAGGTCCCAAGTTCAATCCCCAGTACCAATAAAAAAATATTCCAATGTTTCTACCCATGCTTAGGAAGGGTTTCAAAGGGCCCTCCCCTGTACTCTTTCTCCACCTGTAGCTCCAGAGGGAGCTGGTGCAGAGAGGACCCTGATCACCTCACTTCAGCTGCCCCAGTCCAGGGCAGAGAGCACAAGCCAAGGCCCTGTGAGTGCAGGAACCTGTCCATTTGGCTCACTGACCCAAGTTTCCAGTGTGTTCCTGTACATGGCAGAACCTCTCCACCCATCAAGATGAAAAAGAACCAGGATTCACAGGTGCCTGCTGAGTTCCAGCCATCAATGACATGATGGTTTGGTCTAACTCATACACAGCTCTCTGCATTCCTATTTGTCAGGAGAAGAAACAGGCTCAGAGAGACAGAAGGTGAGTGAGGACTGGAACCCACTGTCTGGCTCCAAAGCCCCAACTTCTTCTGCCTCTTTGACTAACCTGAGCCAGCCGGGGTGGTGCCCTCCTCCGGAGAGGGTGTGGATAGCAAGACAATTTCCCACTTTGTGGAGCTATCTGGGGTACTCCAGAGGAGTGGCCTGTGTCTTTCTGCCAAATGTGCAATAGTTTTAGAAGGTCCTCTTTGAAACCACCCTTCCCCCTGGGCCACCACCTTCCATATCCAACTTGAGAAAACATTCTTGACCTTTTTGCAACCAAAAATCCTTTTTGGGGGGTTCACGTCTACCCCCACTTCACACTGCACCACAGGTTTTGGAAAACTGTATTACTGACTTGGTTTGTGCAACACAAGTTCATCTCCATCTCCCTTGGGGAAATCAGATGTTCTTACTCAGACCCGAGCAAGTTGCTCTGTTCACACGGTGCCCTTCTGTGCATCAGCATGTCCCGTCTCCTCAGCAGAGGGTCTGGGCCCGAACTGGGGCTCTGCATTTACTATTTTGTTTCAATTGTCCCAGCAACTCTGAGAGACTTGTATTAGTTTACCTATTTTACAGAGGGTGATTCTGAGGTTAGGTTTGGTTGACCAGATACTTTCTTCACAGGAAATGAGAATAATATATCCTTGATCTAAGGAGGAAATGTTAGGGGAAAGGAGATCTTTGCTATCCCTAAATCTCCCAGCACTGCTCTCACTGAGCATGAGAAGTACTTCCCCCACTTGTTGACCATAAACTTTTCCTGATGAATTAATGGAAAACCTCTGAACTTCAGGTCTAGAGACAAGTTTGGGTCCCAGCTCTGCCTGTGACTCTGTGCACATTTCTTTACACCTCTGAGGCTCATTTTCACCAACTGGGTGAAGAGCCCATTCAGCTAAGGAATTTGGGAGTCCTGATTCCTCACTGCTTTCAGTCTTTCCCTTTTCCTTCCCCTCAGACCTCCTTCCTGACACCACTTTGCTCCCAAACCTAATGACGAGATGCTTCTAGATGCCAAATGGGGATGGGAAGCCGGGGGTCCCAGGATGCTTGTCTCCCACGACCAACTCCTAAACAGCATCTCCACGGGGACAAGCCACTCTGGAAAACAATCTGGCACCACTTAAAACACCTGAGGAATTGGGCCTGGTGGTGCATTCCTGTAATCCCAGCACTTGGGAAGCTGAGGCAGGATGATGTGAGTTCAAGTCTTAGGTCAGCTTGAATAACACAGCAAGACCCTATCTCAAAAAGCTACAAAACAAAACACCTGTGGCTTGTGCTTGTAATCCCAGCTACTCAAGAAGTTTGAGGGAGGAGGATTCCAAGTTTGAGCCCAGCCTGGCCAACTTAGTGAGACTCTATCTCAAAATAAAAAGGGCTGGAGATGTAGCTTGGCGTGAAGGGTCTGGGTTCACTTCTCAGTACCACAAAATCAAACCAAATATAATAAAACAGGGCTCCAAGGATGCACAGACCCTCTGACCTAGAAATTCAGCTCTTGGCTGTGTACACCCCAAAGAAATGGCCTCACAGCCCCTCATGGGGACCCATCTGAAGAAGCTCACTTTGTGCTACCTGTGCCAACAGGGAGTTGGAGCCACATTCATATGGGGAGCAGACAGATAACAAGCAGCTGCTGCATTTTGTGTAGGACAGGGCAGTGACTGGAAGCAGAGACCAAAGACAGCATTTGTCAATCTGAACAACATCATACAGAATGGGAAGGAAAGGAGCAGGATAAGATCTGGTAGCCATGTTCCAGATGTGTTCAGTCACAGCTGGATGCAGAAAGGCAACACAAACATTGTAAGAGCACACACGAAGGTTACACCTTAAGTCCATTGGAATGGGTACCCAGAGAAGGGGAAAGGGGAAAGAAGAAGGGGAAATGAATGAAAAGAAGCCTATTCTGTGAATCCAAGATTGCAGTGTACTATGAACTGAGATGTACAATTACCCCAGCTACTCAGGAGGCCAAGGCAGGAGGGTCACTTTAGCCCAGGAGTTTGAGACCAGCCTGGACAATATAGCAAGACTTGTTCTCAAAATAAAATTTTAAAAGGGCTAGGGATATAGCTCAGTGGTAGAACACTTGTCTAGCATGTGTGAGATCCTGGGTTTCATCCCCATGATCGCAAAAAGAAATAAATGAATAAAAAATGTATGAGGCAACTAGGTACATGAAAATAATAATAATTTTTAAAAAGGAACAGGCCCTGTGGACCAGGAGATGGGCAGGAAGGAGGTGGCATCTGCAAAGGAGGAAGCCCAGCTCTCTGGCACCACGTGCCTGCCAGTGTGGGTGTCCACGCGCAGGAGACAGAGATCCAACAGAGACTGTGGCCCTCATGACTTTCACCTCCTGCAGGGTCATGAGACATGGCGGGGAAACTAAGGCATATGGGAATGGGTTTGGAAGGAATTTGGGAGGTTCTGGTAATTTCTCAAGGCAGGGAAATTGGAAGGTGTGTGTGTGTGTGTGTGTGTGTGTGTGTGTGTGTGTGTGTGTGTGTGTGTGTGGCCATCACAATGACTCCATGTAGAGTATGTATTGATTGTTGCTAGCAGCCCTGCTGCTCCCTCCTGCCCTCTGCCCAGACATATTTCACACAGCTGTGGTCCCTGTGGCACCGGGTTTGCAGCCCTTGTGTGAAGCCCCTAAGGTCTCTCTAGCTCTCTGTTGAAGGGTGATGGCTGGGGATGGAGGGTGATGGGCCAGGAGGCCGGGTTGCCATCCCTCCTGTCCTGCCATGGGGCTAAGGAGCACAGGAGGGGCTTGGACAGGCTGCATGGAGCCCCCAAACCAGCCACCTCCTGGGGGTTGGAGCAGGACCCTCAGAGTTGCAGCTTGCAGTGTGGTTGATGTGCCCCCAGCTCAGCCACCAGCTCAGACTGAAGGTCACAAAGGGGCCAGCTGGCTGGGAACCACGGTTGCAGAGAGCTGCTCCCCAGGACACAGCCCTCTGTCCAGCCTCTCTCCCCCTGGCTCCTGATGTCCGTGAATCTCAGAATTTCCACTGCAGCCCCAGCCCTCAGAGTAACCAGCCTGCAGCAGAGCAGGAAACCACCAGAGCAGAAAAGCTGGAAATAGAAGCAAGCTTGGCTCCAAGCCCTGGCCATCATCTACAGGGCTCCTCCAAAGTTGGAGGCAGGGCGACAGGGGCAGGAGTGGGACAACTAGGTTCACAACTGTCTGAGGGGCCAGAATCAACTTCACTGGCCCTGAGTCCTGAGCTCTGCACCTTGCTTTGCTTCTGGCAGGCTGTGTGTCCCTGGGCAAGTGTCTTCCCCTCTCTGGTCTCCGTGGATCTCATCTGCTAAACGAGAGGGTGTTATGAGAACAGTGGCTTTCAAGTGAAATTTTACAAGTATCCCAGATCCCTCAACAGGGGAAGACACAGCTGTTCGGTTAAAGGCCACTGAGGGGCTCAGAACCTCTTTTCTCCAAAAGGGGCTTTACAGAGTGCAGCTTAAAATACAACTCCACTAAGTGAAGGAAGCCTATCTGACAGGCTGCATGGTGTATGGTTTCATCCGTGTCACTCTAGAAAAGGCAAAAGCATGGAGACAATTAAAAGTTCAGCAGTTGCCAGAGGTCAAGGGAGAGAGGGGGAGACCAGGAGGAGACTGGGAGATTTATAGGGCCCTGACGCTGCTCCGCACGACACTGCAATTCTGGGTTCAGGCAACAGTGCACTTGTCCCACCCGCGGAATACTCAGGACCCCAACGTGATCTACGGGCTGTGTGTGACAGCACTGGGGGTGTTGATGGGGGGAGGCGGGGCATGTGTGAACCCAAGTGTGTACAGGAAATCTTAGTGTCTTCTGCTCAATACAGCTGTGAACCTAAAACTGCTCTTAAAAAATTATGCTTGCTGGATGTGGTGGTGCGTGCCTGTAATCTCAGCTACTTGAGAGGCTGAGGCAGGAGAATCACAAGCTCAAGGCCAGCCGGGGCAACTTAGTGAGAGGCTGTCTCAAAATAAAAATGTTGGGCTTGGGATACAGCTCAATGGTAGAACACCCCTGGGTTCAATCCCCAGTATCTTGAAAACAAGTAAGTAAATAACCCCCAACTCCGTGTGAAAGTTTCGCCCCATCCTCCGGATCTGCTCTGACTTGAACATTTCAACTTGTGTAGTTGATGTTGCTGTGCTGCCCAGATCAGGCCTTGGCAACTGCCAGAGGGCTAGGAGCTCACAACTGACAGGGCCACCTCCCTGGGAACAGCCCCCCAAAGCCACACCCCCTTTCCAAGTGCATCGGTTGGTTGCATTTCTAAGAATTCATGTGTTGGAAACTTAACTCTCAAAATCATATGTCAAAGGCATTTGGAGGTGGGCATTAGAGAGGTGATTAGGACTGGACGGGTCGCCAGGATGGGGCCCTTATGGTGGCATTAGTGGCTTTATACTCAGAGGAAGAGAGACCTGAGGGAACGCATTTGCTCCCTCTCACCACGTGATGCCCTCTGCATGTTAGGGTGTAGCACGAAGACCCTCGCCAGATGCAGACCCCATGCTCCTGGAATTTCTGTCTCCAGGACTGGAAACTAAATAAACCTCTATTTTCTATAAATTTCCCAGCCTGTGACATGTAGTTATGGCAATAGAAAGTTGACTAAGACCTCAGGGGTAGCCCACGTGCAAGGACTGGACCCCGTGCCGTACTGGTCTCCTTGCCTCCATTTGGGACAACTCTGAAAGGTGACTCGGCTTGTGTGATGGGTTGATTTTTTCCAGGTATGGCCAGGAAATCATACAAAATCCCACAAAAGACACCACCGACCACCTCCAAGACCTTAGGAAAAGCCCCATCTCTTCTCTGGACCGTGATGGAGGACACCACCTCATAACAATATGGAAAATCTTGGAACGCAAAGGAGACCACGCTGATTCCTGCTTGGGGCTGGTAAAGGAGTTGATGGGGGAGCAACTGCAGCTGTGGGAGCTGCAGCCAGGAGACAGGGTGCACCTTCAGCATTTGTCCAAGGGCAAGGTCGGGACAAGATCCCCCTCGAGGCTCTGGCAGGCTTCCCTCTGCAGGCCCCAACACTCTTGCTGCAGTCAGAAGCCCGGAAAGGAGTCTGACAAGTACTTTCTGGAAGGGAGCATAGCCCAGGTGCTGGGGCAGGGAGAGGAAGGAGGATCACATGGCTGCAGGTAGCAAAGCCAGGCCCCAAACTACAGCCCTGACTCCCTCCCCACTCAACCTAACACGGGCTGGGCTCTTGAGACCCTAACATGAATATGTGCCAGTCCCAGCTGCCAGGATCTAGAGACAGGGCTCCAGGGTTGGCAGCTGGGCTGGGCAGAGGCTTTACCCAGTCAGGGTATCACACACAGTATCCCGGGCTCACCCCTGTGGTTCTGTTCAGTGTCTGGGCTGGGCCAGGAATCTGTATTTCAAACTGAGCATCCACAGTGGTACCCTCAGCACCACCTCACAGTTACCTTCCGATGATGATGATCATGATGATGATGATGATGATGATGATGATGATGATGATGATGATGATGATGGTTATTTTCCTGGGGATCAAACCCAGGGCCTTATCCATACTAGCCAAGTCCTCTACCATGAGCTACTTTCCCAGCTCTGCCCTCTAGTGATTCTGAGACATAAGGTAGGAGTTACAGTATCTCCAAGGTGGCATGAATTTCCACCTGCCAGGCAGACCTGCCCCTTAGCTTTGTGCCTTCTCTTTAATGCCAGGAAGCCCACAATTCTGCTCCCCTGATCAGCCTCCCAGACTTCCCTTCCTGCCGTGCTCCCATTTTGCCCCAGCTGGGAACTCCAGGACCAGAATGGACACTTCCACAACTCTTGTATTTTCCCTTCCAAGTCTCAGCTGCAGTCTGCTGCCATGACCTTGACCAGGTGATCCTCAGACCTCAGCTTGGATTTTGCAGTAGCTCCCACGGCATCCTCTAACTCAGCATCTCCTGACCCTAGGCATTCATCTGCCACCTGTACGATTTTATGGGCCATATCAGCACATAACCCATTCTAGAATTTACCTTAGTCTTTTCCTTGAATTAATTGAGGGAATTTAAATATATATAATATATACATGGGGGGGTGCTGGGAATCGAACTCAGGACCTTGAGCTTACCAGGCAATCACAGCACCGCTGAGCTAATTCCCTGGCCCCTAAATATATTTATTTTAAAAGAGAGTTTTCTAGAGTTGAAAGCAGGGTGTCAAACAGATACTTGAACACCAACGTCTATAGCAGTGTTAAAATGGTAAATTTTATATGTTTTATAAAAACATATGTTATGGGCCGGGGATTTAGCTCAGTGGTTCAGGCACCTGCCTAGCAAGCTCAAGGTCCTGAGTTCGATCTCCGGGACCAAAAAGAAAAAAAAAGATCAAAAACATATGTTATATGTTTTACCACAATTTTACAAAAAATCCTTTCTACTCTACCTTGAATGTAAACATAACAAAAATGTCACATTTAAAACAAAACAATATTATCAAAAGTGTCAGCTTCTCTCTCATTTTGCTAAAAAGACTCATTAGTAGCCACACGTGGTGGTGCACACCAGCATTTATGGAGGCTGAGGCAGGAGGGTTGCAAATCAAGTCCAGTCAGGGCAGTTTAGTACACTCTATCCCAAAATTTAAAAAAAATTAATAAAGGGCTGGAGATATAGGTCAGTGGGAAGGCTTTGTGTTCAATCCCCAATACAAAAGAAAGAATGAAAAGAGAGAGAGAGAGAGAGAACTATTAACACTAACATCCTGTGAAAGACAGTAGAACCACAAAATTAGACACTTTGTCTTCTGGGTAAGAAAACAGACAGGATCTGAAAAGTATCTGTTTCCTCCCTGAGAGCCAGAGTTAATTAATGCCTCTCTGTGGACCCAGAGCTCACGTTTATGCCCCAGTCTCTGGAAAACTCCCTTCTGCCCACGGTTTCCTCTGAGCACTTTCTAAACAACCTCACTAGAATCATAGTTTTTGCCAGCACATGCGGATTCTCTGGTCATCTTCCAAAGTGCTTCTGCGCGGGTCTAGAAAGCTGTCCTATTTTACCCATTTCGCAGATGAGGGTGATGGAAAGCAAATCAGAGAACCAAGCCTAGACATTGCCCCTGCTCAGCTCTCTTCCCCAACTGCCCGAACACCCAGGACCTTAGCATCACATCCTCTTGTAAATTTCTAGACTCTGCCTCTCACAAGGTGCTGTTCTCTGGAGACCTGTGGTCCCCTGGCCCATCAGACCACTCTGCTGTGTGAATAAGTCTCCCTGTGTCTGCCCAGGAGGCCTGCATTTGTCGATGCTCACACTCACTGGTGGAGGCACCAGACTGGGCTCCCAGGAGACCTGGGTTCAAATTCTGACTCTGTCTACTGCTCGCTAAATGGCCTTTGGCAAAAGGAAACAAAACAGGACTCAGTTTCCCCGGGATCAGAGGCGAGTAAAGGGGTTGGAGCACATCAGTGGTCCTCAGGGGAAGATGCAAAAATCGCTTGGAATTGGTAGCTGCACCTGCAGGTTCCAAGCCCCACGGAAGGTCTAGCCCACTGGAAAGGGTCCCCCAGGTGATTCCCACGTGCGGGATGATGGGATCCCTGGCTCAGCCAGCTCTGAGGACCCTTCCAACCCATGTGCTGAGCTTCCCGGAGACCAGCTCCTCACCTGAAGCCACCTGGGGTTTGTAAAGTGACTTATTTTGGCTGCCCTCCCTGTTCGGCTCCATTAGGCCCAACAGCAGGAAGTGCCAATTTCCTCAATCTGGATGGGGAGAAGTATTTATTTATTGGAAGGAAAGGGCATGAATGGAAGGTTTCCTGCCAACGCTGGGAATTCCTGACTCTGACTCTGGACGGTGGTGAGGGCACCTCGCACTCCTAGGCTTGTGCCTCCTCTCCAGAATCATCTGGGGTGGAGAGAGGCTGTGGGACTCTGGAGGACTGGGGCTTTTAGGGATACCAGACAAAGCTAGGCACCGCGGCTCTAATGCTTTCTGGGACCTCTAGGAGAACCATAACTCCCGCTTCGCAACCCTTAGTGTCTCTCCTTAAAGGACCCAACTCTGGTCCCAGTGCAAGGCCTGTGTAAGTGGTCCGGAGAAGCCCCCTCCCCCAATGGACGGTAGAACAAGTGGGCATCTCCTGTCCTCTGACTACAGGGTCTGCCCCCTATCACCATCCCCGACTAGGGAGCCTACCAGGAGCGCAGGTAGCGTCAGGGAGGCAGCATGATCCGTAACAAACGGGCTCAGCGAAGTGGCCCTGGTCCAAGGTCCCATTGCCCTGCCCGCGCCTCATGCGCGCCTCTCCGCGCTGCTGGACGCACTGAGACTGCTGAGCGCTCGCCAAGATGAGCGCGTTTCCTCCAGTGAGCCAGGCGCTGTCTCAGCCTGTCCGAAGACTTTCCGCGCAGCTCGGCCGGAGCTCTGGGCACAGCAGCGGGGCTCGGGTTCTCCACTCTCGATTGCTGAGTGGAGTCGGTTTAGCATCCGAGGAGTCCCGAGCCTGCCTTCTGAACCTTCCCTCTCCCCTCCTCTCTGCCTTGCCGTGTGAACTCCGGCAAGCAGCTGCCGGCCTGCCTCGGAGGAGCTTCCATTCCCAACCCAGCTTTGGGGATTCCACAGGGGACCTTAGTCACCTACCGGTTCCCCGGGCTCCTGCACACCACCGATGGCCTCTCCCTCCCGCCAGGTCTGGGGCTGTGGTGAGCTTGGGGCGGATCTGCTGCCTGGTCACCCCACCTCCCCAGGGGCAGACGCTCTTTTTCCCTTTCACTTTCTCTCTGCACCACTGGACTTGAGCCAAACTGGGGAGCAAGCAGTCACCCACGCGTCCCCTGCTGCGCCCACCGGGTGCTCTCTCGGAAGCATTCTCACTCTCCGGAACTACTCGGCCTTGCCGGGGCTCCCCACAGGTCCAGCCTCCAGCCAGCTCCTCACAATGGCCAGCGCCTGCTTGGAGCCCAGGTCAGGAGCAAGCGTGCTCTAGGGCAGGAAGTTCATCGGCACCCCTGGGTGGGCCTCTGTTTCTCTCCAGCTCAGCCCAACCATGAAGGTGGCGAACTGCTCCTTGATGCAGATGGACCTGAGACCCACTAGCTGAGCAAGGCGGCCCTCCATCCCCACCTCCCGTGCCCTAGGGAGGAAGAAACTCCTGCAGGAGGGATCCAGCTTTGGTGACCCTGTGTTCCCATCACCACGCCCCTGGTGACAGAAATCCTGTTCCTCCTCCTCCAGAAAGTTTAGACCCTACTCTACTAGGTCATGAGACCTTGGAGAGGTCACTTCCCCTTCCCAGGCTTGGACTTCCTCATCTGGAATCGGAGGAGTGGGTCTAGGGGGCTTCCAGCCTCTCTTTCCTCCTCAAACAACTGCCCCAAGAGCCTCTAGCGGCATCGGACAGAGCAGAGGAACTGTTCGCCCACCTCTGGCCTCACACATTTCTGGGGAGTCTGAGAAAAGGGGCCCCACTCCTTTCCACCATGCTACAGCAACTCCAATAATATTGGCCTTCTTCTCTGTTGATACTTAGGTCCTACAAGGTCCCGGGTCCTAGGCTAGACCCTTGGATCCCTGGTGTTACCCCTTCATCTAGGCTTCCCCCTTTGCCCATTTTACAGCCAAGGAAAACTGAGACTCAGAGAACATTAGTGACTGCACAGGCACACACCACACGCCCTCAGCCACAGAGC